CGTGGTGCTATAAGTAAACGATCATGTTACATGAGTTGTCGGTGATTCTCCCAAAACGGCGAAGGCCAAAAAATGGGGATAATGCGACTTGATGATCGAGGTTCCTTTATTTCCCGTGTATTTTGGTATAAAATTAGAACTGCTCGAACCTTCATAACGAAACGAAGAACTGGTATGTGCTGAAGGCGTCTATTTTAAATGCCATTAAAGACATGTCTTCTATTCACTTAAGGTTGCATCATAAGATCTGTCACTTGAGTCGACTGGCGTGGTTTCAATTAACCGGTTGTACTTGACAAGGAGTAGGTTCACCTGTCCAACCTCGTGGTTTTCTTTGGGTCCTCCCCTACTGCTAAAGACCCCTGTGCGCAAGTGAAATATTGAAATACGTCCGTGTTTCTGTTCGTCCACAATTTTTTTGGTGGACATTCTACAGGTAGGTCATTCTCAGAAAAAGTGGCAAATTGAGTGAAAAAAAAATGTCTTCAATTTTCTAATAGTCTCTTGAGTATGATAAATTTTATTTATTAATGTGTTAGAACATTATTTTATCTAACAGAAAAAAATTATTCAACCATATTTAGTCCAAAAATAGACCTTTCGAGATCTAATATACGCGTGAAATACGCGGTACGTCCTTACCGTTACCAACTTCGGATTCCAAAACTTATGTACATTTTTCCTAGATGTGAGGAAACTGTGAATGTTAATCCCCATACATATCAATTCATACGATATTGGTCTATTTCCATTCAAAGTCCCGGATTCCTAGGGGTTTCAATGTAGCTATGAGGAGAGCCTCAATGTGTGTCCTGATTTTCTCTTTCAAAATGTCTTTACCGTTATCTCGCTGTATATTTCACAGATATCTTAACTTTATTCAACAAGGCTATTTTTAACCTCAAGGTAAAGGTCTTTCTCAGCCATGTTGGATTCCTGAAGATCATAAAAGTTTACCAAGGAGGGAATTTCAAAGGAAATATTTTAAATAATAATATATTAGATAAGATAACTGGTATTCTTTAAAATAAGCAAGAAAAAGATGAGAATATGTTGTTATTTTTCATTTTTCCAAGCAAAATGTGTCTTTACCGTTACCACTCGATGTCTTTACCGTTCCTTTTTTCGCTAACGGTAAAGACATTTGTTGGAGCCGTAAAGGTTTATATATATATAATATAAAAATATATTCTTCAAAAAAAGTAGGGGATATTGAAATGCAAATACCTGCAGGATGTGATATGATAAATAGTCACTTGACATGCTTTGAGAGTATGTTCACAGATGAAGACCTTATCGCCCCAAAAGAACTACTGAGCTGCACGTGGGAGGGGTTCATTGTCAAATTTGAAACTTCAAGGAAAGGTTGATGAAAACTGCCGCGTGCTGGTTTATCCTTTCCATGTTTGCTTTCCTATCGGTTCTTGAGTAAGATTTACTGTTTAGCGTATCTTTGCTTTAGTGTGTTACGTTTAATTTGCAATGAGATGTCTTCAACATGATAAACGTCTACTTGCTATTGGCATGGTTCAAATGGGTTGTACACAACGAGCAGTAGCCAACATGCTTAATGTGTCACAGTCTGTGATCAGCAGACTGTGGAACCGGTACCACAAAACACACAATGTGGATGCTAGACCTCGTTCAGGTCGTCCTAGCGCCACTACACATTCGTACACCTTTCCTGCGAAATCGAGGACAAACGGCCAATCAGCTTTCTGTGAACTTGTACCAAGTTACAGGAATTCGAGTTACACCCCAAACGATTAGAAATCGGCTACATGCAGCCCATTTGCATGTGCAACGACCGCGTGTTGTGCCTCCATTAACTCGCTAGCATATGGCAAACAGGCGTCAATGGTGTAGGCAGCGTAGAAATTGAGGTACTCGTCGATGGGCGCGCGTGGAATGTTCCCAGATGAGTCCAGATTTGCCCTGGATTTCGCCTATAGTTGTTTTCGCGTGAGGAGACGTGTAAATGTGCGTCATGCTAACGTTAACGTCAGACAGCATGACAAATTCGGACGGGGGTCTGTTATGGTGTGGGGAGGAATAACCGTGACTGGTAGAACGGACTTGCATACTGTTCAAGGAAGGGTCACTGGTGTGTACTACCTTGACAACACCCTGGCACCGATAGTTCTGCCCTTTGCTCAAGGTGCAGGTCGACGTTTCATCTTTCAAGATGATAATGCCCGTGCCCACCGCGCTCGTGTCGTGAATGACTACCTACAGCGTCCATATGCCTTGGCTAGCCGTGTGTCCTGACCTTTCCCCTATAAAGCATGTCAGAGACATGATCAGGAGACGTGTTCGTCAACGTCAACCGACAACACTGGAAGAATTGGCCGTGGCACTGCAAGAGGAGTGGGTCAGATTGCCCCAAATCGTGATTGGACGGTTGATTAGGAGCATACCACGACGAATTGCTGAATATCTGAGGATTGGTGGAGCAATTACTCATTGTTAAGACAAAAATCAAAAACGTTCATTTTCACTTGTGACAGTTTATCTCTAGGCGAGTGAAATGGGGCCGCCAGATAAGCCGGCCATATGAACTGTTTAAGTTCATGTGTAAGCAATTGGCCTGTTATTAACATACACTAGTTACCTCTTATAAAAACAGCGGTGCATTTCCGCAGTTTTGTATTGTTTCTGAATATCCCTTACTTTTTTGGAAGAGTATATATATAATATACAGGATATTTTCAGTGTGAATAAAACAAGTAGACTGACAATCAACTGTTTCAGAATGTAATTGCTTTCAGGTATTTTTGCTGCTCAAACGATCAAAAAGACGCCACTTTGTTTTGATTGCAACACGGGTGGTTGTCAAAATTACTCAAGCTTTATTCCCTTAACATCTTACGACGGTTTCGCTCATTACGTGGCATGTGCAACGCTTTGATGAACTTGTGGAAAATACAAGTAAAAAACATCGACTTTCAAGAGATAACTTTTATTTATCCGTAGGTGATTTCAATGACATAGGTAATTTTTTAATTAACCATAATCAATTATTTTGTTTACAGTCGAAGAAATCCATTTAAAATTTATAACGGTTCAGACAGTAAGTCGATTTTCATTATACTAATGAATTCGTTTCATTATACTTATATGAATTCTTTAAACATTTTTAGAACTTTTTATGTGAAGGTGTAAACTGTACCAGATGCCCGATTGGTTACTATGGTGATCTTTGTCAACATGTAATACAAGGTAATAAAAAATCTTATCCAAATAATTTATTGTCTACGTATTGAGGCCCTCCGATCCGTGACCATTTCTTGGGGAATAATGTTTGGCGATGGTTTCTGATAGTGAATATATTTGTAGTTTGCTACCTCTGAAATTATTATTTCTATGTCATTTGCTGAATAGCTTGTCAACTCACTATTATACGATCATAGGTGTCATTCTCACACTTAAAACTCATTTACACCGGAAATAATAACATAATTACCTCCCTTGTTTTCTATTCTCCACCATGAAGTAGCTATATTCAAACATTGGAATTTGAAGATTAAAATGATATTTTTGCCAATTTCTCAACTGGCAATAGTGAATTATAGGATTAATAGGATTATTCTTTAACAAGGTATGACTGTTTAAAGATACCATCTATTTTAAGGCTTTATTTTAATAAATTTTTCAAAATATAACTTAAAAATATGAAATTGCAACTTTAAACCCCATTTCATTTCATTTTCCACAAACAAAATGGGAACGGACGGGGGCGACGACAATATGGGTCCACATGAAAATTCAAATGACACATTGTTACTTTAAGACAACAGAAATAACTAACAGGTATCTGTAAATTAGTTGTTTCGAACTTACCTTCCATTTTAATTTCACACAACTTTCTACCTTTCCATTTGTTTACATTGCCTGAATCTACGGTCATCAAAATTTGAGAAACCTACAGAAAAAAAGGCAAATCTATAGAACAGGCCTTAACAATTATTTACTTTGACAAACAAATGTAAATATCGAAAGATGAACGGATGGACAAGGCTGACGATATGTACGCCAACATAGTTATAACATTACAGGTTTATGTACATACCCAGTAAGTTACAGTCCAAAATATAGCTCATCCGAGATGTCTTGATCATGAACATATATTCTAGGTTCATCTTGAATTGGGACAAAAACTCTTGCCCGTAGCGGAGCCAAAAACGTTTTACATATGACACATACAGTGCAAGAGGTAGTGACAGTTACAGTCCGATGTACAACAATATCTAACTCATCCGTGACAAAATTGCGACCTCCATAGACTGAAGCACAGGAGTCTGACCTTCTATCCGTAAAATATGCATCCACCATGCCCAACCAGACAATAAATAATAAAAAAGAACAGGAATGCAATGCCTGTTGAAGCCTCGATTTTACCTGCTCCCGCCTCAACTCGGTTTTATTCAACAATTCGTAACGTCAGGAAATTGAACCGCTGCCGATTCACTCAGATATGTTTTTTCTTCAATCTAATCGTTTTGATTTACATAAATACTCCCGCAAAACGGTATCGGAGCCATTTGTTTCCAATATTAACATTATTTTCGTCCATTTCCATTTTGTCATCGACACCATGCGCTGACGTCACACAATATGATTCGTAGTAAATTTTAAAAATCATAAAATATAAAAATTAGCAACAAATAAAATTTAAAATAGATTAAAATGTGCGTTTTACATTTTTTTATGCGTAATATTAAACTTCACACAGTGGTTAAATATCAATTTATAAAAAAAAAAAAAAAAAAAAAAAATGTGAACAAGCACAATCAGGGGCGGCTAACTCGCTGCGGACCGTTTTGTGTGAGGATATGAGAGAAAACTAATGAGTGGACGGGTTGCCCTAGTCCATGTTTCGTACAAGTGTGGGCCAGGATCCAGCACCATTTGCCTCAATGACAGACATTATGATCTAATGCACATGTCTTACACCACCGAACACCCCCTGTGGTTGTCAAAAATTGTTTATTGTAAAGTCACCAAATTTCCATATTAATTACTGTTTAATTCTTTATTTCAAACAATACAGTTCGCAGTACGAAAGTTCTTCAAACATGAATATTCAATCATATTTTCAACACAGCCAATGAAAAACAGCGAATGAACAGCAAATAATTCGAACTGAAAAGATACAAACAATTCAAATTACAATCAAGAAAACGAGTTGGTCTGATCCCTATTTGAGGGGTTCATAAAATGGAGTTACTTCCCTTGGTTCAAAAAATATTGATCAGCGCGGATTTTCAACCAAGCCATGAGTGAATTATCAAAATGACAATATTCGTTGAATAATCCTGAGATTTTACATATTATTGATGGACAAATATAAAATGACATCTTTACTTACACTTATGGTGCTTTTTCTAACATTTCAATCACATAAAACACGATTCAAGCAAATAAACAATTTCTAACAGCACATTGTGTGGGTTTTTCAACTTTCAAACTCTTCAATTTAAGAAAAACCCAAAAGGCCCTACAAATCATGTAGACTCGATTTTCTATGTCAACTTTTTGAACAGAAAATACTTCAATCATAATAAAATGGTAATTCAACTCTATTGTCACAACATACCGCCCGCCATGAACTATTGGGACAAGAAGGAAATAGTTCATAACACTTTCCAACACTACCTCACTTTCAAACCTTCAATCAATTCTATCAGATTTACAAATACCATCCTAGCAAATATACAATATTGCATAGTTACAAGTAGCCTATTCAAACAGTATACAATTTAATTCGGATATTTCAAACATTTCAAACCCTTCAATAATTCAAACGAATGTCTAAATTTCACAGTCATGTGCTTCTAATAAGCACAGTTTGAGAATGGGTCTTTTTAGAACCGAATTCTTAGTTTTAACTTCAACATTTCGAACTAAATTGTCATTACCGGGAAATACATCAGTAACGCGGCCAAGAAGCCATTGATTCTTGGGAACATTGTCTTCACACACTAATACTAAATCGCCTATACGCAAATTACGCTTAGGTTTTAACCATTTGCTACGACTTTGGAGAGTGGGGATATACTCTTTTAACCACCTATTCCAATAGTGATTGGATAACAATTGGCACTGGCGCCATCTTTTCTTGCTAAATTTATCAGTTTCACAAATAATTTCATGAGGAATATAATCACTGGGTTTCACATTCAAAAAATGGTTCGGAGTTAAAGGGTCGTCGTCATTTTGGCTCAGTGGGTTTCGCGTTAAAGGTCTGCTGTTTGCGATCCTTTCAGCTTCTGTCAAAACAGTTGTTAATACCTCCTCATTGATAGTATCATTTCCGATAATCGCTTTTAAACTACGTTTTACACTCTTTACAATTCGTTCCCACACTCCGGACATATGAGCTGCAGTGGGCGTGTGGAAAATCCATTTACAATTGCGCTCAACAAGATATTTTTCTACCTTTCCGGAGTTCAGTTTCTGGATGCACCCGCGGATTTCTTTCTCAGCTCCGACAAAGTTACTTCCATTGTCCGAGGAAATCTGTTTAACACGTCCACGACGATTCATAAATCTCATCAACGCTAATAAGAAATCGTCAGTTTCTAGAGATTTCACAAGTTCCAAATGAATGGCACGATAGTTCATGCACACAAATAACGCACCCCAACGTTTTTCAACAACTTTTCTACTACGCTTCACATACATAGGACCGAAATAATCTAACCCAGTATAAGTAAAGGGGTTTTCAAACGGTGTTAGTCTATAACTTGGAAGATTCGCCATTTCTTGTACCAAAGGAACGGCATTACGTTTCCTACACAATATGCAGGTCTGTATCACTTCACGAATAGCAATTCTTGATTTCAAAATCCAAAACCTTTCTCGAATTAACGAAAGAACTTGTTCGTGTCCACAGTGTCCATTTGCTCTATGGAAATGTCGGATTATCATATTCGTTACATGATGTTTTCGCGGAAGTATCATGGGATGTTTCGCATCATATGATATAGGAGCCTTTGTCAGTCTACCACTTACACGTATGATGCCATCACTTAATAACGGTTTTAGCCTCACAATGTTACTCGAGTTGCTCACACATTGATTTGATTTCAAACTTGTCAATTCATTTGGAAAATTTCGAATTTGAACTTCTCGGATGATACACTTGGTAGCGGATTCATAATCTTCCGTTGTAATTCGTTTTTCGATTTTCGATCTGTTAGCTGGATGGGTTTTCAACCAGTCAATAAATTTTACGATCCAAGCTACATTTCTAACACACGGATTCCAGTTAGAATGTCTATTTATTAATTGAGAAAGATGCGATTCTGGTTCAGAAGAAAACACGTGGATCTCCTTCTTAACTTCTAACATTTCAATCGGAACAGTGTCAATCTTCAAATCTGGCCACTGATCTTTTGGTTTCCAAAGAAATTGAGGTCCTCTAATCCAACGACTGTTGGAGTTGAATTGCTCAAAATTAAGTCCTCTGCTTACGTCATCAGCGGGGTTCAACTTCCCAGGGCAGTGATGCCATTGGTCTGGTTCTGTTAATTCGCGGATTTCGGTTATTCTATTTCCAACAAAGGTCTGGAAACGACGAGTTTCGTTGTTAATATAGTTAAGCGTTATCATCGAATCAGTCCAGAAATAGGTTCTGTCGATATCAATTTCTATTTCACGGATTAAACTGTTATGGATTCTAGCGGCCAGTACAGCACCCTGCAATTCTAGTCTAGGAATACTGATTGATTTGATTGGTGCATTTCTAGATTTACCCATCACAAAGGAACATTCAATTTCACCATTGGGGTACACGATTCTCATAAAGGACACACAACCTAAGGAAATTTCCGAGGCATCACAGAAATGATGCAGTTCAACAACTGTACCCTGTTCATGTCTGTCTTTAAGGAAATAGCTTCTTTGAACTTTAACGTTCCCCAAGCGTTGGAGGTTATCTTTCCACTTCAACCATTTCGAAAGCAATTCTCCTTCTATCTTTTGATCCCACGACCACTTCTTACGCCAGAGTTCTTGCATGATCTGTTTAGCAGGAATCATTACAGGGGCAGCAATATTGAGAGGGTCAAACACGGAACAAATTGTCGATAACACTCCTCTCATTGTGTTTGGTTTGTCTAAATTCATGACTTTGAATCCCAACGTGTCCAATTCAACAGACCACTGAAGCCCGAGTGCTCGGGAATTTGGCAACTGTTCAAAATCTAAATCAAGGGTAGGATCTGCTCTTAGTTCACTAGGAAAAGTTCCTAAGACGTTTCTGTCGTTACTTAGAAATTTTGTCAATTTGAAACCGCCATTTTTACATATGTCAACAACCTGATGTCCAATATCAATAGCCGCTTCTGGAGTGGAAAACGATTTCAGAAGATCGTCAACATAAAAGTTATTTTCTATAGTTTTCACCGCTTCGGTGTCAAATTCAAGCTCATTGTCTTTCGCGGTTCTCAATAAAGCAGAATTGGCTGAGCAGGGCGAGTCAGCGGCTCCGAAAATATGAACAGTCATGACGTATTCATCTAAAGGTTTATCAAATCCATGTGTCCACCACAGAAATCTTAGCGAATCCTGATCTTCCTTTCTAACACGCACCTGGTGAAACATACTTTCAACATCGGCGGCAAGAGCTACTTTATCTTGGCGGAATCGCAAGAGTACTCCAACTAAGTTATTTGTTCTATCCGGTCCAGTCAATAATTGTTTATTCAACGATGTACCATCGTATTCCGCTGCGGCATCAAATACAATTCTAACTTTACCGGGTTTATTCTCATTCTTTATTCCAAAATGTGGCAAATAAAACGTTCTCGGGCTTGTCCGTTTCACCTCCTCGGCAGACAGCTTTCTAGCATATCCCTTTTGGATGTAATCCGTCATTGTTTTTGTGTAAACCTTACCAAAATCGTCATCCTTTTCGAACCTACGTTTTAAACTTCTCAGCCGATCCTCGGCTTGGTGTCGGTTATTTGGTAGAGTCACGTTATCGTTTTTCCATAACAGACCGCTTTCATAGTGTCCATTAATTAACCGGGTAGTCTTATCTAAAATCATACTAGCACGCTTATCTTCAATCGATTCAGTTTCAAACCGTTCTGGAATATTCAATCTTTTCGAACCAAAGTCATCTAATTTCCAGAAATTTTCAACCAATTTGTGCAAGTCTTTATCAACATGCGTAAAATTACAGGTAACCGATTTCGAAATTCGAACTCCTTCTACAGTTCCAGTTATGACCCATCCTAAAGGTCCACGAAGTCCTTGTAGTTTACTTCCGGGTTTATCAGATCTTCGAACTTCTAAAATATCATGAAGCTCGGGCATGTCTTTACCTATCAAAATAGTCACCTTCTTGACATCAACGTCCGGAAGAGCAAGATCTTTTAAATGTGGATGTAGACTCAAGTCAATGTTGTGTGGTAACACTTTCTCGTTGATATTAAATTTATCAGTAATAAGTCCCTCTTTTACTTCAAACACAGCGCCATCATCAGACGCAGATCGGATTCCAAAATTCGCAATTTCAAATTGCTCGGAATTACTTTGGGTAATTGTGCTCACATTGACCGAACTTTTTCGACCTCGAATTCCGAGAGGTTTAGAAATCTCACAATCCATAATAGTTGCCCTAGAAGCATTGTCAATTAGGCCATACGTCGTCAGAGATTTTCCCTCTGGTCCAAATACTCGAACAGCAACAACATGTAATAGGACTGTCAGAGTTAGATTTTCAACTGTTGTAGCATGGCATACTGAAGTTGTTTTGACGTCGGTTTCGTCAGTGTTTTTATCGTCGGGCGGTTTATTGTTTTTATAATCTTCACGCTTGTCCCTAGGATTGTGTAATAATGGATGGTGTTTTCTTTCATTCGAGCAGGGACAATGAATATTAACCCGACAGTTGTCACGAAGGTGTCCTGGCAATAAACACGCGTGACATACTTTCGATTCTTTTACTACTTTCCAACGAGTGTCTAAATCTTTCTGTGCGAATTCACCACATTTTGATAGGTTATGATTTTGTGAACAAAATGCGCATGTTTTATGTGCAGATTTTTGTGAGACATCAGTTGATAATGTTGTTGTACGTCTATTAGGGTAATTGCTTACAAAAGGAGTTTTATCTTTTTTATGCTTAATAAAGTTATCATTGGAGTTCAGTGGCACAAAGGCTGGGTCATTCTTAATAGCAGCGTGCTTCTTTACAAATTCACCTAAGTCTCTTAATCGAGGTGTGCAACCTTTACTTCTCAAATTATAGCAGAAATCGCCCCACTTATTGATGAGATAATTGGGCAAACGAGATACAACCAATTTCAGATTAGACATGGTACTTGCTTCAGCCTCATAAATACCTATCAAACGTTTGATAGCTGATTCTAAGTTCTCAGAAAATTTCAACAATCCCTTAGTATCGGAGCTTGTTAGTATTGGGACATTCACTAAACCTTTCAAAGTTTCTGCTGCTACCTTTGCGGGGTGTCCATATCGGGCTTCAAGCATAGAAACTATAGCAATATATGAACAACCAGATGCTCTTTCCATCACCCCAAGAGCTTCGCCGTCCAGGAATTTAGGCAAGAATTCAATTTTCTGTTGATCGGTTAGAAGGCCATCTTCCAAGTGATTTCTAATTCGTTCCCTAAACACAGGGTACTTGGAAGGGTCCCCAGTAAATTTCAATGGTTCCATGCTCTGAAGCATATTCAGTTTTAACAAAACGGCCTGAACATTCGCAGGGTTGATCTCAGCAGTCTGACTGATAGCATCACCAACATTTCGATCATAATTTGTTTCAACATTTTGAATAGGTTCGTGAGTCCTAGGTATATATTCAGTGGCATTAGCATTCAGTTCTACACAGTTTATTTTGGGTTCGATGGGAGTAGGGGGTTGATATTCAAATACATGTACTGGCGGGTGTTCAACATTTCTATCAGAATTTCTATCGGAGGGTTGAATGGGTGTTGAGGCCCATTGTTGGGTTCTTTTTATTTTTTCACTGGGGGTGGGAGAAGGGAGATTGTCAATTGTAGTAGAGCATTTTACAGAACGACTGCTACGAGAAGGTGTGGAGTCATATAGAAAGGCTTCCTTCTCTGCTAACTGTTGCTTAAATCTTAATTTCTTTATTTTGATTTGTTTTTTATGTTCTATTTCCATTTCAGCCTGTTGTTTCTCCATTTCAGCTTCATATTCAGCCATTTCTTCAGGTTGTGCGACCAAAAGTCGTTGAATTTCTAACTCTTTTTCTGTTTGCCTTGAACTACTCAAGCTTCGACCGGTGCTAATGTCGGATTTTACAGACCGACTTTTCACTTCAGCATGTCTACTTAATTTCTCTTCCATTTCACTACGATTATTCATACAGTATTTAAATTTCAAGCATAAGTTTCGAATGATAATGTGGTTGTCAAAAATTGTTTATTGTAAAGTCACCAAATTTCCATATTAATTACTGTTTAATTCTTTATTTCAAACAATACAGTTCGCAGTACGAAAGTTCTTCAAACATGAATATTCAATCATATTTTCAACACAGCCAATGAAAAACAGCGAATGAACAGCAAATAATTCGAACTGAAAAGATACAAACAATTCAAATTACAATCAAGAAAACGAGTTGGTCTGATCCCTATTTGAGGGGTTCATAAAATGGAGTTACTTCCCTTGGTTCAAAAAATATTGATCAGCGCGGATTTTCAACCAAGCCATGAGTGAATTATCAAAATGACAATATTCGTTGAATAATCCTGAGATTTTACATATTATTGATGGACAAATATAAAATGACATCTTTACTTACACTTATGGTGCTTTTTCTAACATTTCAATCACATAAAACACGATTCAAGCAAATAAACAATTTCTAACAGCACATTGTGTGGGTTTTTTAACTTTCAAACTCTTCAATTTAAGAAAAACCCAAAAGGCCCTACAAATCATGTAGACTCGATTTTCTATGTCAACTTTTTGAACAGAAAATACTTCAATCATAATAAAATGGTAATTCAACTCTATTGTCACAACACCCCCTACCAATACACATGTAACATTGAGGTGTGTAATAAATATGGGTGATTAAAAATATAACAATAACTATTATAGTGAGAACTGCCAGCTCTTTATCTAATCTCCCATATTGGGCCTGCTTGATTTGTCCGCGGATAGGCGAGCCGGTTTGTACAAGGCATACGCCGGTCAGGTTACCGTATCAGAGCAAATCAAGTGACCCGGCTGATAATAAATTTGGCGTCGGATAATATTATAATATTAAACCGGTAACATTTCATGTTTTAATAACGATAGGTTGCCAGGTAACGAAACATACGCCCACAGCAGCTAAAGCGTCCGTGCAGTCAACAAGAGTTGTCGCATATTTTTACTTTTTTCGGTAATGAAACATTTATAATACAATAAAATCTGATTAAAAGTAACAACTCATTAAGTAATTATCAAGTTCTGTCACATTCTAACGTTTAGAATACGAAACATTTAATATCATGGATTTAGCTGTTCAGTTATCAAAATTCATTGAAAAATATACTTGTTCGTCTCAAGACCTTAAACTCTTGTGTATCAATCCGAAGTCAATCGGATGATAAATTTGGCCATAACGCTGGCGGTAATTATCGCTGAAAACCAATAGGCTTCTTCGTCTCATGACCTTAAACACTGTGTATAAAATTAAAGTCAATCGGATGTTAGCTTTGGCCTCTAAGAGCGTCCACAAGCAATTGTGGACGTCGGACCGATGGATGGATGGATGGACGGACGGACGGGGGCGACGACAATTACGACCATATTTCAATGTGGGCGTGTAAAAACAGTATTCATGAAAGCATTACTATAAGTAAGTGACCGCAAAATAATACAGAAATTTATTTGTAGTATTACAAAAAAAAAAATAAAAAAAAATAAAAAAAAAAAATAAAAAAAAAATAAATGTACAATAAACATTTATTTTGGGTGTCGACTGTATTGGGCCATTGTTCCAATAAAATGTAGTAAACCAATAACAGACTCAAGTTCCTGATAATGAAGGGCTCATAATCAAACAATGGCCCAGTTTAAAAGTATATATATATATTGAGTCACAACAATAATATATATCTTTATTTAAATCAGTCAATTTTACGTAACGGTCAACTTGTATTTATAATTATTTGCATCGAAGCTATGTTATCTGTATGTCTGGTTCGTTTGAAGTCTATTTAATTTGTATCAGCCGAAATCGATGCTAATAGTAAGTGCAGGGGACTGCACCACACAAAATTTACACAATAACAAATACACGGACAGGACATCATACTCAGGAAAACACAAACATCAGACAATTCAAAAAAAGTGAATGGATCCGGGGGGCTAGCCGTAAGCGTCCACTGCGCTGTACAGTCCCGGGTCTGTAGTGACACAAGTTATTATATTGTCTTCATTAGCATTTCCATCTCTGGAAAATGTTTAATCAGTTATCATTGCTTTTCTCTTTATGTCTCCGTTAAATCCAGATTTTGAACCACGTTTTACAGAGACAGTTTTGAAGTTGTCCCCTCTCTCCAACCCGACGCTCTATGTGTAAAAAAATGATGATTGTCTTTCACGAGGTGGGCTATATGTACATTGTATAAAATTGCTGGTTATGATTCATGATTTTTCCCCATGGCGATGAATGTGTCTGTTTCTCAGAATATGACACTACTTCCCATTTAAAATCAATATCTGCGTTTCAATTTTGTATGACATTCCCATTAACTTATGTGTTTCAGATTGCACTGAGGGGATCACGTGGCTAAGTGGATAAGACACTGGCTCGCTAGCCTGGAGGTCGGGTGTTCGATCCCTGCATTGGCCGAGAAAGTTCATCCCGATTTTCCGGCGTGTTTCCCCCTTGTCAGTGACGCAGGATGGAGGGCCTGACAAGGACAGCTGTCTAGTCGTTCGGATGGGACGAAAAACCGAGGTCCCGTGTACACATTGGCCTGCACGTAAAATATCCCTTGGCAGTTGGAATTCGATATAAGAGTAGGCCGTAGCCCGGGCAAAATTTCCCTCATAGCACACTGTATGGTATATGCCCGTCTTCATTAGCCCAGGTTAGGAGTAGGACGTTAAACCCAATTTCATTTCATTTCATTTCATTTCAGATTGTACTGAAGGATTCACACTGGATTTGTACCCACAGCAGTTCATGTTGTCATTTATTCAACCATCGGTTAATGGTCCTATTATAGAGGTAATATGTGATTTCACGGCCAGTGGGTGGACATGGATCCTGTATCGAGACGTGCAATGTCTAGAAATCAATTTCAACAGAACTCTTGATGCATATTCAAAGGGGTTTGGAAATCCATTAGGAAATTATTTTGTTGGTTTGGATAATATTCATAATCTTGTTCGACTAAATGGTCAAATTGTTTTGAGTCCGGTATTCAGTTTCCTTGATGGTCCTTCATGTAAAGGTTTCTATAAAGATATCGAAATCGCCAACAAGACCAATAACTATCGTCTTTCAATTGGGATCTACAACAACAGACCGATATACTGTGGCGATTCACTCACCAATGGATCATACAGTCTAAACGGTAGACCATTTTCAACTTTTGATCGAGACTTCACCAATCACAGTTGTCCAGTTCGTTTCGGTAGCGGATGGTGGTACCTGGATGATCCTGTCTGTAGTCGAAGTAACCTACACGGTAGAAGATCAGGGGCCGATTTTCAATCCACATGGCACTGGCAGGATAACTTAGGAAACACGACGTCTTTCAAATCTCTAGGGTTAAGATTCAAGCGCAGTTAAAAAGAGAGAGAGAGAGAAATGGGGTTTAACGTCCACTCGACACAAACTAGGTCATTTCGGGACTAACATATGGTTTAATTTTATTTACATAATTCGCTTGCGCGTAGGGGTCTTTAGCAGTGGGAGGAAACCGGAAGACCCGGAGAAAACCCACGAGGTTGGACAGGCGACCCTACTCCTTGCCACGTACAACTGGGGATTCGAAACCACGCCAGTCGACTCAATGACAGACTATATGATAGTTAAAAAGAGACGGAAATTTAGTTATGATTTAATTTACCGGTTGGTTACTCATTCAATCGGCGGTGTAGGAGGGCGCCGTTTGGGTAAAGTGTCATGGTTAGGCAGTGGCGGATTAAGCTCCACCAAGGCCTGAGGCGGCAGTTGCTGGAGGGCCTATTTAATTTCGGGTCAGGGCCTATGTTGATTCCCGTTGGGCCTAAACCCCACCCCCCTAACATTCATTGTCTATGCGTTTTTAATCGTATCAGACAAGTCTTTGGGCCTGAGGCTGCAGCCTCATCAGCCTCAATGATAATCCGCTACTGTGGTTAGGGCATAAGGTCTGTCAATGAGTCAAGTGGGGTGGTTTCGATTCCACGCTTGTACCTGCACCAGCCTCGTTGTTTTTTTCCGGTTTCCTTCTACCGATAAAGACCCGTACGCACAAGCGAATTATTCAAACATTATTGAACAGTATGTCAATCCTGAAATGCCCTAGTTTGTATCGAGTGGACGCCCCCCCCCCTCCCACTCTGTCTCTCTTGTTCAATGTTGTACATGTATCTACAACCCAAACTGCTTAATCGTTGTTACTGGATTTGGCTTCTAATTCCAAGGATTTTATTAAAATAGTTTTTGCATATAATTTCTTTTGAAAGCAGAACACATCCTATGATTTCTTTTATAGTGACAGTTTAATCTAACAGCCGTATTTGCCACTATATTATATGTTCACACTATCCAGAACAACTCTTCCAGATTCTAGTGTAGTACATACAAATAAAACGAAATTTTGAACGAAATAGAATCTGTGTGAAAGGGAGGTCCAGATCTTCTCTGGTGTTTAAGACGGTCGCTCTTTTCATGAAATCCAGCTATAGGGCGATGTCTTGTCGCTGGGGAAAGTTAACGTCGTATTCGCCCACGAATAACCAGTAGAATGAATATGGTATTGTATTCCCCAATGGACATGACATCATTCTGTACAAATAAAGTATGTAATATAGTGTTTATTGAAAGCCTAATGATCTAAGACGTTTTTGTGAACCGATTAGATTAGACCGATTAGCTATTATACGCATTTGTGAACCAAGTTGATTATGCTAATCGTTACATTTGTGAGACGATTTAACTCCACTGATTAGGCTAATCGACCTAATCGTCCCAGGAGGTGTTTAGGCGATTAGATTTGACGTTTGAATGTTCGACGTCGTAAGTAATTTTTAATGCTTATTGTTGTTTTTCTCCATAATTGTTTTTTAAAACACATTTGACGTGTTTAATGTTAACACACGCCCCCCTCGTCATGTTTTGACATATCGATCAATATCTGTAACCAGTCTCTCCCCGAGTAAGTGTTATCACGTGGTTGTCAATGTTGCGTAAGGTCTATCTGTCCTTCTGTTCTGTGATACTCACATTGAGTACACGTATGTACTGATAGATCCTAGGTTTTCTCAGGACACTTTTTACATGTTTTGTCACTTTAGTTTTCAAAGAAATACTTGAACTTGTTGGACATAGGAGATTGTTACTTGAACTGGTTGGACATAGGAGATTGTTTCTAACGGCAACCATTTTTCCTTTTTTGCGTAGATAACCTTCATTTGTCTTTAACAAGTCATCAATAATTAGCAGAGACAATTTTTTTTTCTGATTGGTGTCCGTGATGGCAGCCATCTTACCAAATCGTAATTATTCACATTTGTGGACCATAGCTAATCAAATCGAAATCATACTAGCAAATCAAAACCTAATCTAATCGACTCCAAAACACCACTAGTTAGAGTAAAATGTCCTGGCATTAACAATGTAGTCTTTTTACTCTTTTCATGTAATGTAATAGATTAAAGTACCAGACATGGCAAGGTTTGGGGGCGTTTGGAAAAGTGGACCATGAAAAATTTATGAAACATTTTCTT